AAGATTCACTTCTGAATGAGTAAACCCCACGGAAAACGGTCAACGATGCCACAGTGGAATCGATCACACTGGTCTACAATCTCAAAAGAACGCTGAAAGTGAGTCAGAGTGTGAAATATCATGAAATTGGCGATTTCCAGGAAGCCATATGGGCATCGGATTGATGATCTCACCGTCTTCCTGATGCAAGCCGACTAGAAACAAAATATGTTTTGTTTTTGGAGATCTTCACTCAAAATGCACAGCAATCAATGGTTGTGACTAAGAAGAAGGAGAAGAAGAGGAGGAAGAAGTCGCAGATCATTGCAATGGCCGTGTACTCACAGATACTAGTGTGTCGGCTCATTATTCGCATAACCTGAAAGTGAAATGGCTAATGATCAAAAAGTATAGAGACAATCCAAACGTTTAGTACAAGCAGTATGACCATTTACCACTAATTTGGACCGAAACTCAATTGCCTGCTACTCCTGTCCCTATACTTATGATGTGAGAAGACCAGAAGTTGATTTGCACATCATAATCGACGTTATCTGTCCAGTGGTGGATTCAAATGATCGTTGCGATTGGGTCATTGCAAAATGATACCAGATAGACGATATCCACAATCGATGCTGATGTTTTCCGGTTCTTCAAACGCGACATTTGTAGTGCATGATTGTTGTCACATGCCTAAGTGTGGGTCACTGTATTTCCAGGTACCCAGAACCCTAGACTTTTAGTATTATTTTTGGAATATTTAATGTGCGAAATAAAAGTTTTTGCAATAGATGCTGAAGCTGTTTCTGTTGCTGCATACATTGAAGCAATAGGAGAAGAAGTATATTGTTGATCGATATAATTTGGTTTACTGTATTTAGATACACTTACATTTGTGTATGGATCTTGACTGCCTGTGTAGCCTTGTCCATCAAAATATCTGCTTGCACCTCCCGGATTTAGTGGTGGGCCACCCATCTCGTTAGCATCATAGTAGCCCTCCTTATCTCCTGGGCGTAATTTCATTATGAATTGCGATTGTTAAGTGAGGCGAATACTAGTTACATCCTTTTAAAGAATTTCGCGACCTTGAGAAGGAGCAGCTGATTCCAATATCCAATGTCCAATATGGCTTTTACGAGCTGGTGTAAGGCAGTTCGGTTTCTTGGTGCTCACTTCTTGATTGTGAGGTCAATGTTACATTTCTTCGGTGAACTTCTGCGTAGTCGGTCCTGCCATTGCACTGTCGTTGCTTTGGTTGACTCCAAAAGGAGTGGTGCTTAGATTATTTATATGTGCTTTTTAGCATGTGGTGTGTTAAGACTTTGTTGCTACTCTGAATGGAGTTGATCCTTTCACCAGTTATTCCTCTGGTCTCGTCGATAACAGAAAAGAGATAATAATTATGACATATAATTAGTGTAGGTTATCAGACTAAAAGACAGAAAAAGAATGAAAGAAATAGTAAAAACAGACGGCTAACTAAATTCGAAGTTTTATATATATATACATATAAAGATATATATGTATAGAATATCAGTACTGATAATCGTATTAATAATAAGTGTGGGTGTAATAGTTGGAGTAGTCAGGAGTGTAAGACGGGAGAGAATGTAAAGAAGTGAAACGACGAACTTAGATGTCTACCCATGAATGGTTTGTGGGATTTTAGGGGGATGGGCAATTTGGACGCAGTCCATGTGTCGCTGCATGATTGTTCAGCCTTCGCTTAAAGGTGTCATTAGACGGTGCTTAGCTATATCTGCCAGTAAGTAGTTCCAGGGACTGCAAACCCGTAGTGAAGAGAAATGGGAGCGCACTTGAGTGTCTGCCCTCTGGTGAGCTATGCTTCTGGGATATCCACGAGGAAGACTATACCTACTCAATGGTAGAACACCTGTGTTTTGGTGATTCTGGTCATTTTTTATCTTGTAGGCAGCAATTAAGTCCCCATAAGCCGACGGTTGCTAAGCGTGAATACGCCTAATTTCTCCAGCTTTTCATCATACGGTTTATTTCGGAGACCCACTACTCCTTTAGGCGCCCGTCTTTCGAATCTTTCCAAGAGGTTCTTGTCTCTTCAAACAGTGGGGGTGAAATGATATTATGCACTTAAAGTTGTGGCCTGACGTACGTTTTGTACAATCCGAGAAAAAGCTCAAGAGTGTGTGCACCTAAATATGTGTAATAAGGATGACGGACTATAACAATCGAAAAGTTTAAAACCCATGGGAGAGCATCCGGAGTGGTAGTTGCAACCATACCACTAGCTTCTTAAGGACTTTTTCATTTAATCTCAATCTACATCTTCGTTTAGGTTAGAAGTCCTATCATTATGTGGACTTCACTTTGGTGAATTCCATCATAACGTGGTTTTTTCTGACATAAACACACAGTGATACAGCATTGTTTATAGGTGGTCTGCCCAGCACATTTACTGATGTCAGTTGCTTAACAAACTTCGGTGTTGCTCTCTTGTATACATCAGAAGCTGTTTCATCCAATCTTCGTCTGTCTAAAACTTGTCAGTTTGAGAAGAGAGCCAAGAACTACATGTCGGATGTCGACACCAAATTAAGGGACATTTACCACTAGAGGCCGACAAACACACAAAACTACTGGCGAGCAAGCGGAGTGAACGAATGAGCAACACCCAACGGGTTGCATACATATTTCTTCCGTATCGCACTGTTAGGTGCCCATATTTGACCATTACTATGCGCTATTCGCCGAATAAGCTGTTCCATTCCAGAAACACTTCAGAAGACGTCAGATGAAGATTTCTTGGCCTTTGATTTTCTGGAGGATAGTCACTTGAAGTAACTGTAGCATTTCGAGTGGGCACGGGAAGTCTTCGGCAATGTGAAATGTGTGGCCGAATTAGGATAAGTAGAGATCACTGGTGTCCTTGCAGGAGAATGAACATTAGTAAGATGGGAAGGAATTTACTTGAAGTTGCTGTGGGTGAACAATATTCAGGAAAGCCTGTCTCACTCAGAGGATAGTAAAGTGATTCGTTCACTGCTGGTAGTAGACTACAACGAACAATCGCAGGGGCTGATATTTTGTGTAAATGTTGTGGAAGCGGCGGATGCACCGATTACAGAAGACGTGTGGCGATAATTCCAAATGTGTACTCCAATGTTGAATGTTTTCCAGTGACTGGCATATTATTAACTTAGTGATAGAATGCAGTTGACATCCGTTGTTCTATGAGTGACTGCATTAGAATCAACTTAGGTTGACTAATAGTCTGTACGCATTTTCACAGACGTTTTGCTTCGGCAGTGTATTTCAGTGACCATAGTGTAGTTTGTTCCTACCATGAATTTCGTATCCCAGTTATGTAAACCGTTGTGACTGAATCACCTACTTTTACTATGTATTTCAATTAACAGCTCGCGATACTGCTTGAGTTAAACTCATGATAAGCTAGTATCGAGTGAGGATTAAGGCTGTCGCGATGTATTTTCTCACCTGGTATGGGTCAGTGTGTTCATGTTTTAAGAAGCGTTATGATGATTCACTTTGGTGAAAATGGGAAATATGGAATTAAGTTGAGGCCTTTGTAAACAGAGTAATCGAAAGTCTCGTTGAGTAGATCAGAAGTGTTTTGATATGCCAGATGAATTTTCGCCAGGAGAGGCATGGACTAAGAGGAATAATGCATGGAAGCGACTTTCATTTGTGTTGGGAAGCGTTAGTGGTTTCATACTTCTGAATAGTCGTTAATTTTTAATTTATCCAGCATCACAAACTGGAAAAAATAATTCCTGAATGATGTTTAGCAGATGAGTGAACTTACTTTCCATTGTTGATGTTGTATATATTACAGTTCGTCTTACGACCTATTCCTCTGTTTAAGGCGTCTTTTCACGCTTCAGAATCCGAGCGTGCACTGAAAAGCAACACACATGCATTTAAATCTCTCACCCGTCATCTTTTGCTCTGGTTGTAAAGGCAGTGAGTACAAGAGATATACTGTTAGGAATTTCTTAGCTTTTAAATTTCAGAAATTATTCCATCACATCCTTAACTTCCTTCCAGCTGAGGAAACGCCTTGTTAACATAGTCTTAAGAAAAATTTCAATTAGATGCGCGCTGGACTGATGCGCACTAATTACCTGAAAAGAAATCCCGAAACGGGATTCGTTAACTAGTGTTCACTGTTGCCACTGCTTTTCATAGTTAATTCGTGGAGGGCGGAATAATAGGCAGTATAACAGAAAAATACTGGCTCATAAAGCGCCACGTACATAACGACAATTTGAGGAGTGCATAGGGGTGCACAGTTTCCTAGTCATTAATAATACTACCTTTATTCCCGTCTGTGCAGCACCATACCAGTCGTACATGCATGGATAAGTTATTATTTAAATTACATGAGTTCGGTTCATGGTGAATTTGCATGGCCGCTGTACTATTTGACCTTAGTTAAGGGAACATTCTACTAACTAGTCATTCAATGCAGCACATTTAGGAATATAGAAGTATTGTCTTCGCATCAACAAATTCCCAAGCATTAGCTGTATGGGTCAATAACACCTGGCAAAAACAAAGCTTGGAATCAATTCTCCTGTATAACATTGCTATGAACGGCGTCGAATCTTATTACCTGTGCAGTAACCGCTTAACCAACTCACTGATTTTCTCTTCACTTTAATCATTAGTAAGTTAGGTCAGTATAATTATTTCCAGAAGCAATTACATTAGCAACCATATCCTTTAATATTTAAATATATACTTTTATTACTAGCATAATACACTGTACTATTTTTGTGTTGAAATGACTACCTTCAGTCAATAGTTACCCATTTTCATATAATTTTCTCAAAGTCGTAATAAATAAATAAATAAATAAATTTATTCTCATAGTACAGTACATGAGGTACGCCAGTTTACAGGCATCATCAAATTGTTACAGAAATAGAACCATATAATTCAATCACAATTTACAGGCGGTGGCAAGATATGCTTTACATGTTCGCTGGAGATTATACATACACTTGATAAATGTTAATCCCAGTAGTATAAAACAGCCTTTTCACTTATATACAATCACTTCTGTGCTAAGTTGGGAAAATCTGCTAGATTGTCAGTGAGTGCAACACAACAGGAAATACAGGAGTATTGTCTTCGCATTAACAAAAAAACCAGGTCTTTGGTGGATGGATTAAAAGTGCCTGGGAAAAAAATAAAGCTTGAAGTAAATATTCGTACATAACTTTGTTGTGTGCAGAGTCCTCGAATTATAGTTCATTGATGTGTTATTCTGAGATCAGTGATGTGTTTATCTCATTTGATCTGAAATGTCATTGTTGGGAGTAAGTATATAAGTTTCGGACGCATTAATTAATGGATTTCTACTGCTTGTGGGTATTTTCTTAGCGTTAGGAAGGTTTATGAATTTCAGCTGTTCCGACAGGAGTTGAGAATATTAACTGCTCAGCAACATTATGGATATAAGTTCATCACATTATCTAAGGAAAGGTGGGTTGCAGTTGGTGAGGGATATATGGTGCCCAACGAGCGTTCATCTGTCCTTGTGATGTTGTGGTGAGTTATACCTTTTTCATGTTGTCGGTTTATGTCCATTTTATTCCACTTATTGTGTTGGGTAGTAGTTTCACAAACGAGATTTCTTGTCTGTTTGAGGATACGTATGTTAACCGTCAATGTTTTATCTAGAATTATAAATATAGGCAAAAAACAACAGGTGTAGTATTTAAGCTTATACATTAAATGGACCTATAATTTCGGAGGCTCTCAGATAGGAACTAGAACTAATATCGTTTGCAAACTCTTGTAGTTTGTCATTAAGCACCTTTTTGAAGGAGGCCAATGTACTTGCTTGACGCATTTCCATTGGCAGTTTATTCCATATCTGTGCATACCTAATCAAGTAAAACTTTTGCCTGGTGGCTGTTTTACATTGTTCGATAGCTACTGTACCCTTAGTGTGTCTTAGTTTGTAACCATTGTCATCTGAAAGTCGAGTGCCATTAGTAGAGGTAAAAACTAAGTGGTTTAGAAGCTTATAGTAAAGTGTCAAGTTTAGTCTCAGGCGTCTTAGCCATAGTGTTTCTAGTCCTAGGGTATCACATCTAGTGGAGTAGTTCGTACCATTTTCAGTTCCGAGTAATTTTAACGTGAAGTACCTCTGCACTCCCTCGACTTTCAATTTGTCCTCTATGCGTATGCTACTATACATGAATGAACAGTAATCAAATAAAGGACGCACACAAACCTTGTACAACAGAATTCTAGACTCATTTCTGTAGAAGTTCCTGAGTAGAAAGCCGATAAGTCTGCGTGACTTTGACACTTGTTTGGAGATATGTTCAGAAAATGATAAGCTATGTGAATATTTCAGCCCTAGGTCCAGTACAGATTCCAGTCGTTGAAGTGCATGGCCTTGAATTGTCAGGTCAAGTTCTAAATTGTTGCAACCTATGCAGAGCCAGCCACATTTTTCGACATTAAATTGGAGTTGCCAGGTGTCACACCATCTATCCATTTTTTCTAATTCTTGCTGTATGGCGTTTACTGTTATTCCAAGATCTGTGTTCTTGCATTTATACGTTACTTTTAAGTCATCTGCATATAGTATTGGTTTACCTACATTAAAGCATTCACAGATACTGTTTATATATATTATGAATAAGAGTGGGCCTAATACACTTCCCTGGATTACACCACTACTTACTGGTTTAGGCCTTGAGATTATCGAGCCAACTTTCGTTGTCTGACTTCGGCCACAGAGAAATGATTTTATCCAGCTCAGGAGAGGATCACATATCCCTAGTGAGCATAACCTGCTGACTAGCAGATTATGGGGAACTCTGTCGAAGGCTTTTGTTATATCGAAATATAGTACAATTACTAGTTCTCTGTTGTCCCTAGTTCGTGTAACTTCGTTGAAAAAGTCTATGTGACAGGTCACACATGATCTCTTTTTGAGAAATCCGTGTTGTGATGGATTGATAAGTTCATATTCTAGTAAGTTGTCTGACACTTGGTCTTTAACCACTTTCTCCATTATTCGGGATATTACCGGTGTTATATTGATAGGTCTATAGTTGCATACACTGGTTTTGGCCCCTGCTTTGTGCTTAGGTAATATGTATGTGGTTTTCCACACTTCAGGGTAAGTTCCAGTTTCCAACGAGAGAGTAAATATTCTAAGTAACAAGACTACCATTTCCGTGCTACCATTTTTGTACATGACAGATGGTATGTCATCTGTTCCAGTACTACCATTAGACTTCAAAGTCTTAATCGCTGAGTCTATATTCTGTATATTAAAGTCTATTTCGCCTAATTTGTGGTTACTTTTGCAGGTCATTTGGAAATTTTGGGTCGGGTGCACTCTGGCGTCATTGCAAAACCACTCATTGAGGAGTTCACTTATAACCTGGGGATCATTGTATATTATACCCTTATGTTCCAAGCTGCTTACAGTATTGTCTTTACTGCTTTTTAGACGTCTCTGCAATATCCTACAAAGTTCCTGAGTTTTGGAGTTACCCACAAGCGCTTTATTTTCTTCAAGTTGTGACATCATTTTGTGTTTATCTTCAAGCCTTTTAAGAGTTTCATGTATTTGGTTTAACGCATTAAATTCCTTAAATACATGGTATTTCCTTTTCAATTTCTTTAGTTTTAGTCGCGTTTTGCGGTCTATAAATGGAGTTGGTGTCTTTAGAGCAGATTTTAGGGGCGCGATTATGTCTCTTGCTGAGCCAATTGTTTTGTAGAAAATATCGAGTGATACTTCCAAGTTATTGTTAATGAAGTATTCTTCCCAGTCAGAACTTCTCAGCAGATCTGATAGGAATTCCCAATCGGCATTCTTATAGTCCCTATACTGATAGTGCACCGGGGAATTTTTAGGTGTGTGCTTAGTTGTTAGTCGGAATGGTAGCGTGCAGTACAATATGTTGTGATCACTGTTATCAAGTTTATTTCCTACCTCTATCGAGATGGGCTCAATTTCATGACAAAGGATTAAGTCAAGAGTGTTTTCATTTCTTGTAGGGAGGCGTACGCACTGCTTCCATCCGCCTACGTCTATAGCTTGTAGTAGCTCGTCATGTATTCTAGGTCCTGTACAGGTATCCCAGTTTACTCCAGGTAAGTTGAAATCGCCACAGACTACTTTGTAATCAAAGTCCAGCGTAGCTGCATGCTCTAGTGTTTCTCCAATAGCTATATCAGTCATTTCAGGGCTATTAGGGGGTCTGTATATACATCCCACGAGAATTTTATTTTCGTTTGTGTGGATGCTTATCCACTTAGATTCAGGGAGTTTGTCAGTAGTTGGGTTATTGAAAGTATTGGAGTTAGTGGATTTAGAGGCATATATTAAGCAGCCACCTCCTCTTTTGTCAACTCTATCGTTCCTATAGATGTCGTAGTTGTCTATTACTAGCTTTGAGTCAGGTATATCAGTAGTAAGCCAGGTTTCAGTCACCATTATTAGTGTTGGCCGTTCTATGTATGCCAGGCAGCGAAGCGATGTTATTTTGTTAAGGAGAGATCTAGCATTCAGGAGCATAATCGTTAGTAAACCAGAGTTATTGGGGGAGAGGTTAACATGGTTACTTGTTACTATTCCTACGTTATGTTTGGAGAGGCTCTGAGGTGAGACAGAGTCAGTGTGTGTACCATTTCCTGGATGAATTGTGCAGCGAGTGGGGCTATTGTTTGCTGCATCCGAAAATAATCCTGTTGCATGTTTTGACTTTTAGCATCCATGGGTGGGCATCTGCGTTCATTTACTGGTGATATATAGTTTGCTTGACCTAGGTACCCTGTGTTAAGATTACCTTGGTAGTTGTACCTCATGGGTCTTTCGTAGTCGTATGCATATTGGGTCACATCACATGTGTGAATGAAGTTATTAAGAGGGTCATGTGTCGATCTATACTCATTATGTTGCTGAGGTTCAACATAGATAGTGTGAGAGTTTGGACAAGAATATGCATTAATATGGTGCCTATACGAGCCCCGTTTAGTGCTCCTTATATCCTGATGATCCGTTCTACGTTGCATTCCCAAGTTATGTGCGTTGCTAGGCATATTACTCCTAGTTCGGGAAGGGGTGTTCTCATTCACATGATGGATGACTTTTTTGGGAATATGGTTTTTTACCCATGCATTGTCTTTTTTAGACTGACATGTTGCTTATTAGACTTATTGAGAGGGAGGTATGTCGAAGTCTGGAGTGGGACTCTAGGCTTTGTCGTCTTTCTTGCAGTTTCTACTGCGGGACTCTCGGGCTTGCATCCAGATTGAGTGTGATCTGCCAGTGGTTTCTAGTCAGACATAGTTTGTGAGTCAATATCAACCTCATGTATGTCAGCAGGTTTTCCAGGTGTGCTCTCATGTACTTCAGGATTGCACCCAGTGACACTGCTCTTACTGAGTTTCGAGTCGCTTTTACTTGCCGATTTTTTTTCCAACACTATACAGGTGACTTGCTGTGCTTCAGTGTCCGTCGACACTTTAGCATTGATACCAGGTGTAGTTCTCGGTGTGGTCAACTTTGTATCGAAGGAGTTCTTGGTTGCTTGCCTTTGGTTAGTTGTTTTATCCGAGACTACTTTAATAGTCTTGAATTTAGTGGCAGTAGCCAGAAGATCTTCGGCCTTCTTAAATCGTTCAGCTATTAGGTAGCTGTCGAACCTAAAGAGTATAGGACAGGGATGCTTTAGGTCTTTTTTACTTAGGCGAATGCACTGACAAGGTGCACTCAAGAGATTTGCAGCCTTCAGCAATGAGTGCTGGACCGACTTAATGGGCTCGCTATCTGGTATATTATACACTATAGCGTTTTGTTTCGAAGCCAGCCTTTTAACAACTTCGCTGGATAGAAAGTCAATGGCGTTTTCTAGCTCCTTCGCATTTTCTGAGTCAGTAGGCGTCATTCTAGAGGTCATATTAAAGAGCTTTAGGATTGTAGGATCCTGCAGTTCCTTTTTCGTAAGTGAGACAGTTTCGGGTATACATTCAAATGAACTTAATTTCGTTTTTAATTCATCAATCTGTAGCTGCATCTCTTTAATAATGCATGTTAGGTAAGAGAGCTCTACTTTTTCAGACAGAACATCTTCCACCTGTAATACAGGGGTCAGAGTTATGTTCGAGTCTTTTCTGTTGGGTGAACTACTAATAATAAGGGGTGTTAATGTGTTATTAGACGAGCTGGTGCTATTTTCTAAATTACTGGTGTTCACACGAACACCCTTTTTAGAATTTCAGCCCATCGTTATTAAAGATCAATCAACAGTAAGCAATAAATGAATATAAACGAAAACGTGCAAAAAGCGTCACCTGGTTCGAACGTACCGGCAATATGTTGAAGCTATGTAGCATTTTTTCCATTATATAAGTTGATGAGTCACTCTGCAACCTAACAACTAGCCAGAATTTTACGTCTGAAGTCGCAGCACTTAGCAAATCATGCATTACAAAACCACACAACAACAAACACGACGAGAACTGCCTGTGGAAAATCGAGTATCTAATTGACCGCCACCATTCCAGCCAATTAAGTACACGAAGAGAAAATTGGGGTGAATTTAGGGTGTGAAAGCATACTTCCCCACCCACTAGTATGTATATTATCGCCAACAGCTCGCCTCTAACAGGCGACGTTTCAGTTGATCGAAAATAAGCAGACCAGTAATTAAATTTGTGATCAAGATGGCAGATGTCCTACTGGGTAATAATAAAAGTGATGGGGAGTCACAAAACCTAGTAAATGCATTTTTCATTTGTTATGCATCAAAACAAACTCACCACCTAAATCAATGAGTGCCTTCAAAAATCTGCAAGAACAAGCAGCAGGATAGTTGCGTAACACGGAAATTAATCAGATATTAAAAAACAATTATTCTCTTTCCAGAAATCAGCCGTGGCAACCAGTCCCGGGACATGATTTTCTTGGTAAAGTTGTTGCAGTTGTACACACGAGTAAAAGGGTGATATTCAAAGTGTACAGATTTGTGGAGACGTAGGAAAATGGAGTGACACCTGAGAGACGTGTCAAGAGACGACATCTACTACATCCCGAGTTCCAGGCTCCAAGCAGTAAGCTTGCGCTAGTCCGAAACGCATATTTGTGATACCCATGGAACCTCATCCTGACAAACTAACAACGGTGATCGTGTATGGCTGTTCTGTCCAGAAAATCATTTGTTTTTGGCAGGGTATTATCCCAACAATAGGAGTATTTTGCTTGAACTTGTGCACCTGTGTAAGTGCTTATGGGGATTTGCCACATAAAGTGAAGAAAACCGGTGCTATCCTTTAGGAATGAATAGTGTCTCCACTTTTATCTAACTTCACCAGATTTACACCAAAGGAAGTGACACTGACCGGTTTTAGCAGCTCATTGATTGTATAATCACGTTATCATTGTTTTTGGAGTTTGCAGAAACATTTGAACATCTTGAGGAGGAATTTTATTGGTTGAAAGACCCAATTCATCCTTTAACATACGACCAAACAGCACTGTGGGTATTATTGCTTTAAGCCATGAGGGACGCCTTGCAACATTACCAGGCGAAAACCGAACAGGTACATTACAGATTAGCCCTGCAATGGTACTAGTGAAGCTGCAGAAAGTTACCTCTGGAACGTCCGCAGGTTGTGGCGATATTCAACCATCTGTTCTACAACAGCGCATAGAAGCACTGTACAGACCCTTGTGTGACCCGTTTCATCACCCCATGGAGAGGTTGGAGAAATTAGGTCTTTCGACTCTCAGTTAATATCGGCTTGGTGGTGGCCTAGTCACTGCATGCAAGATCACAAGCGACCAGAGTCACCCAACTAAAGGTATTCCTCCGTTAATTCACTACAGGCTTCCACACAGTAACGATGAGGCATAGGGCGCTAGAGGACAAAGACTCGAATACGCTCTTATTTCCCTTCGCTGAGAGTTTGCCGTCCCTGGAACTCCTCACCAGCAGTTGTCGCCACTGTACCTGTCCTTTGGAAGGCTTCAAGACGAAGCTGGATGACGGTGTAGTGGCATAAGGACTGCGTCCAGATGGTCTACCCCTTAAAACTCACTCGCCATACTAGTAGTGAGTGTACACCTGAACGCGTTCCTCACCACTCCACACTATCCCTTGTACCACTTTTCCGAATATTCTACCTATCCGTTCACTTGTTACCATTTTGGGCTATTTTTGTTTACATACTTCCGATTATCAGATTTCATTATTCACCTGTTTGTATGTTTTCTTTCTACGTCTGCACGATATACATCAATTGTGTCTATTATTACTATCCCCCTTTCTGGTCACACCGGGCGACTGACGAGTTGAGGCATCAACTCAATTCACAGCAGCGACACTGTGTAAATATACCACGTATTACAAATCACACGTATCCAATCCCCGCACCACTCCTCTTGGAGTAAACCAAACCTACGACAGTCGAGTCGCATGCACATTACGCAGAAATTTACTGGGGATTAGGAACTTCCACCTCACAGCCAGGAAGCAAGTTCAAAGAAATCAGTTTGGTTCACAGCAGCTCGTAAGAACGAAATTGGATATTAAATACATTAATGTGTTTGATATGCGAGTTTCCCTCGTCAAACGTTACTTCCCTAGTACTGTTTCCGTTTGTTGTAGTTTCTTTGTCTTGTTCCCACCTTTATGTGCATTTTATGAAGTGTAGCAAATCAAACTGCTACCATTCAGTGCAGTGTGATCACGTGAAGACAGTAATAGTGAGAATTAAAAAATGATGAGAACTGTTGAGGAATCCACGTATCTTTGGGCAAAATAATACGTAAACATTAAAAACTGTTTTCAATGTGAATAAGAAGCATGGCACAACTATATATAGAAGACAGCATCCCTATGTTAGATGAAGATATGATAATGATAACATCAATGAATAAATAGGTGTCTTCACACAGAAAAATAGTTCAGTTAACTAATCCATGTAATGCATCTTAACGAAACGTGAAGAAGTAATTTCATTCTAATCTTTTAAGTCATTTTCACAAGACATATATACTTTCCTTTCAGAAGATTCCATTCGAGAAGTGATAATGGCTTATGGCGTGAGAACATAGAAATAAGCCAAACAACAATGGGAATCAGTGAAGCAAAATAGAAATATCGACCAGTTACATCCTCTTCTCGGGTCAGATGTTCGAGTCTCCACACGAAACATAGGTCATCAACGAAAACTCAAGTATCTCTGGTTAGCTATCAGAGACTAAAATTTCCTGACTCATCATCTTGTATCTGTTACGATCTATAGTAATACCAAGTAAATAGACAAAATTCAGGATAAACATAGTGGTCAGAAGCACTGTATGTTTCCTAATAAACCGAGAAAATACGTTGAAGACGTCAAGGGATTTACCACATACCAAATTCTCTTTCTATCAATGGATATTCGGACGCGTTCATGCTGTGCACGGTTGTCAGAGGAGATCCACTTCTGTGGAAATTAAAGAAATGAGTTCGTATCAGTTTTATTCACTTATCATGCTCTGAAGCTTCCTCTCTTATGAAGGTGAAAATACAGCCTGAATTTCGAGGAAGCTTTACAGACAACTTACTGCATCACGATATGAGCAAGGCGACAGATCATCGAATAATTAATGAGATGATTTAAAATCTTGACAGCAACTGGAATAAATCCATAGCCACAATCACAGTGGATTCGAAACCTAACAATAAAGTGCATTAAGTCAAAGTTAGAATTTAAAGACATGTCTGTATTCAGTCCATTCACAATTTTAAGGAACTCAAACATATTCTTAGTTTGAGATGAACCAGTTGAGTTTTACTTTCGAATGTTTCTCCATCTGCAGCTTTGTCGGCTAGTGACACGAGTCCCCATTTAGACTGGTAGTAGATTTGAAACGCTACTCATTTAACGCTCATTGTTATTTACACGAATTCTCCAGAGAACTTCACTCTTACAGTTGAAATTACTGCATTCCATATGCAAGAAGGGGATGTGGTTATTGCGTTTGTGTTAGCCGAAAGATTTCCACAAATAGATTTCAAATCTCCATTAGTACACATAATAATCTACTATTTCGAAATGGAAACGGAAAAAGTGGAATTGGACTAACTAATCAATTAATCTGCAGCATTGAAATGCAAAACTGTGATACTTAAGGAAGAAATTTGGAACTATCACTTAAGGATTATAGTTGACTAAGATTACTTGCTCAGTAATGAATACCCGAAAGACTCCATCTATGCACTTCCAAGATGACAGAAAGTGTCGGACGAGGGGATAGAGAGAAATTCAGGCCTGGAGCCTGAGTC